CGATGTCGAAAACAATATACAACTGGGGCGAAATATGTCGTATTTAATCTAGAACACTAACTTTCAGTAAACTATTATCATGTTACAGACGTAAATCTGTCCACCCAATCGTACAGTGTTCGCTTTCAAAGTGTACCAGAAACATTAACTGTGTGTGGGTTGAGCCGATTTTAAATGTCAGTCACACGTTTAAATATGCTTTGGTATTTTCAGTTACACACAGAAATCCTTCTCCAAAACATCACAGACAAGTTCAAATGTAATAGTACAACATCACAGTTTACAGCTGTCAACCCGGTATCCAATTAGTTACTCTTTACAATGTGTATACGCGGAGCATGGTATTACATTTGATTTGGTCATTCCCAGTCAAATTTCGTCCTAAACTCTCTCAATTTAATTTATTTATTTCATTGTTTATATCAGTGATATTCGCAAAAGTGTTTCAACTGGCTTTGAATTTCGACTGCCAATAAGTATAACAGCATTTACAAATTAATGTTGTCTTCACATTTGAAGTGCGATAATTTTCAAAAAAACACAAATAGAATATTTTTATTATTTATGAAACTTCATATTATTTTTCAGTCCAACATAAATCCAGCACTGTGCCTATTTATACAAGGTGTGTAATTTTCAGGTAAAGAAACATCTGTGACAATAGCCCGGGTGGGGATAGTGGGAGTGTATTTCAAAAACACATTTTATTGAAAGTGTATTTTTGCTATTATATCTCTCAACTCTTTAAAAGTACATGTTTATTTCATAAGTTTATTTTCTCAAACAGCATATGCAACATGTCGTGTTTTTAAAATAATTTGTATACGTTTTATATCAGATTCGCGAGTGTAGCAACAAACAAACAAAATCACGTGATATTATTTCCTCCAATTACGTGCGCTGCCATGGCTCACTAATACCATCGGTCTTCTTCTCATAGATAATTCCACTTTATTGATAAATTATTAAACTACACTTGTATCTTTCAAGCCAATTCATAAAGGAAAACACATATAGTAATTAATGTGTTGTTTATCGCAACGTTTCTTGCTGTTTATTCGAAATATATCAACATAATTACGCCTGATGACTCGCAATATATGAACTAACCGTTTCACAAAATTGAGTTTTGAATCGGATTCGTCTGCCGTCGTATTGCCGCATTACACCTCCAATGGTCTTAAATTTGATTATTTTTGATGAATAAGTTAACGCTGTACAAAGCAAATACAACACTTGGCTTGGTTAGGCTTGACCAAGGGTCGGGCCAATTTTATTGATAAGTTTAGCTCGCATTTACATAGCGGAAAAATAGCCTGATTTTCCTACAACAACTATGTATTAGAGTTTTGAGCTGATTTTCATCTACAATCTAGATATTTGACATGCGCACTGTTGTCAGGCTCTCTACTGCTATCACAATTGCTAATTCAAACAGCTACACTTTTATATCATTGTCAATTAACTTGAGGTGAATGACTATTTGCTCGGAATATTTATCACCTAGTGGCATGTCTATGTTTTTGTCCTGAGCTGCTTTTTTTAATATGCTTTCACTCGTTGTTGGTTTTACACGCTGAAGTATAGCTCTTCTTTTTTGCCATTTTGTGCACTATAACATAATTGATTGTTGTTTGTGCGGAGGAAAGAAATTGTTATTCCTCAACTGTATTTGTTGGTTCTTGGCCATAAAAGATCCTTTATCTAATCCTGTTTCCATGCCAATCATGCCAGATTTCTTTCAAAATACAATTCATTGGTAATTGTGTAGATGTCAATCTTTCCTAAAACATTCCTGAATGCCATGAAATATCATGTGTCAACAACTTACTATGAGTTATGTGATGATTCGGAGTCATTCTCCATAGAAACCAGATGCGGATTCTCTCTACAATCGAATTGTTCTTTGTCTCCAGGGCAACACTTTATGAATATTAACATGAAAATAGCTTTACTGGCGGAGATATCAGAGCAACGCCAAAGAAAAAAATAATCTCTCCGATGGAGGTAAAAAACAAAGCGGGCAAAAATGTATTCCTCTTGGTGGGAATAACAAACAAACGCCGGCCACAACACAGACTCCCTTTCACCAACACCGACAAGACCATGTTTCTGATTTGAAATTTGTATATTGACTGAATGTGCATTTACATATTCTCCGACAATTTCAATCAAACTGAAAATCACCCCTCCCAATTAGACAAATGACTCGCACCTCCAACGCTGAAGTGAGTGAGGTTACAAGCATGCCATCTATAAATTTCGTAAAATAAACTAATTTCATTCGTCTGTAGGATTATTGCCGTGCATATGGTAGGACATAAGCAACTACGTACGTGCTTTGTGAACCAATACAGACATATATCG